AAACTTCAACTTGACTAATTGAAATTGAGCTACTTTCACAAGCAGGTACATTATTTAATTAAACAAAAATGGAACTTATTTGCGCCAATTAAATTTCCTGGAACAAATAATTCCCGTGTAAATCAGATATTTGTTGATTCTGAGACCACAGTAGTTCCTGGGCAGCGGAAATGTCATTTGAGCAGAGACCCTCTCATGGGAATAGATGCCCATCCTGAATAATTGTGGAAATTAATTTTAAAATACAAATCCCTTTTGTTTTAAATGCTATAGGTAGTTTAAGAGGAAATAACTCATTTTCACCAGAAATTAGTGACTTTTTCCAAATAAGATGAAATTTCATGGGAAAGTTTAACAGCTTTTTAATGAGCATTGCTAAATGCTTATCGAGGTTTCCTGAACAGTTTTGCATAAAACACTCAGGAATTTTAGTATTTTAGTGATTTAATGACCTTATTTTGGATATTAAAACAAGATTTTTGATCTCTAATCAGGTATAATATTTGAGGAGGCAGAAGTAGGGGGGTGTGAATTTCTTTATTAAATCAAAGCAAAATCCCTCTTTTTAAATTGTTACTCCTTTTTAACCCCTAAACGCTTCCTTGGACTGTTACTAACTTCACTAAGTTGGCAGTAGCATAAATCTTGATTGCTAAGACAGAATATTTTGCCATTTCAAAGGAGTATTTCATAGTCCTTGGGAGATCCACCTTCAGGATTAATTTGCCTATCGTAATTGCACGCATTGCGTCTTTGCCAAAACTTTCTTCACAATAAAATGAGTTATTTAAATCGCTTCATCATCAAAGGAATACTTAGCCCCCTTTAAAATATGCCGACTTGCACGTTTCTAAAAGATTTGTAGCTTTTTTACTTCTTTAAGACCATTATAGTGGCTGATTTTGTCAGGTTATTTGGCGTGGATAGCATTTTTCACCACGGCTATTTAAATCATTAAAGGCATTCTAAAGCCTCAAACACCGTCTAGACTATACCGTCTAGGGCTCACTTTTTCCAAGCTTTTGATATAAAGTAATGCCTCACCTAGACAGACAATAAGTGTATATGTCACTTTGCGGCCGCAAATGTTACCGTAGGCCTCAAAAACACCACAGATTTGCGTACCATTAAAACTCCACCTAGAACCCTACACCACATTATTTTCCAAGGATGCATCAATATTTTATGCAAAAAAAGTTGTCTACAGAGATTACCTGTGAGTTATTTTCCAACGAGACTCCCAGTTCAGCCGGATCTACCACAGCCGGTCTGAAGACAGCATCGGAAAGCTTTTTTAAAGGACTGCCTCCTCTTCCTCCCATTTGCAAAGTGCTATCTCTAGTCTGATGCTTTCTTTGTCTATTCTTCTTCCTCTCTTTATGGTCTGAAGCCTTGGGCAAATCGACCCCTTCCGACATTGATGCCGCGGGTCCAATCAACTGGCGTCCATGGTAGAACCAGGTCACACGAATAGGTTCATTAAAGGTAGGATTTGTGCGACACACTAGACCACCCTCGAGACCCTCTTCAAGGGGCACACTCACTCGATAACCTGTCATGACCACCTCATCCGTCTCCGTGCGTGATAGAGAGGTGAAGTCGGCGAGGAGACGAGGGCGCATGATGAGATCCACTTTGGCAGGAGTTGGGTTGGGTGGTCCCGTGATAGTGCTCTTTCTGCTACAAGTGTAGGTACCCTTATCATTCTCATTGAAATCTTGAACCACCAGACGAGATAGCTGCAAAGAATGTACAGTTTAAGATGGCTGGATTCAGTCTTATTATGGCTCATGGAATCTGACAACTTCGTAGTTTTTCACCAAAATATAGTGTCAGGATTTATTTTATTTGTCATCAAAATTCGGGAATAAGGTTCCGTAAAACAGAAAAATTTAAGATGCTTGTGCTGCTCTACAAATGAAAATAAGAATCACTTGTTCTTAAACCTGTTTGAGGCTTCCAAATACGGTGACTTGAGACGATAATTGGGCGTTTCAGGGGAGATAGGGCATAAGGTGATAAAACCTTGTTTATTTCCAAATAATTTACAAAAATGAAAACGCAAAAAAACGTAAAATCTCCATATCCGTTCAACGCAACACGATGCTACACGCCTTTCCTCTTGTTCAAAAACCAGAAGTTTTCCGCTAAATGGCTGAAAATTTGAGTTCACTGATTATGCCAAGACTCGTTTTAATTTAGTCAGAGATTTTGTGCCGACCAAAGGTTCAAGATCGCTACTTGTTAGCACCAACAAGATTTCACCGTTTCTTGAACCCTTATTTGTTTCCCCTCTAATCCATTTACGTATGGTACGGTCTTCTAAAAAGCGGTGAACAAATTAATTACATGAGTACCTTTTACCTCGGATACTACTGAATATGAAAAGAAAAATCTATTTATTTGTTTGCTCAATCTAAAATTTTTCGGCTTGGTGCCTTTATGAAACGTCTAATTGCATTTTTTCTAAATCACCTAAATGAAGTTACAAGCCTTTATTGTAACTCATGATTCAATATACGCTTCAAGTGTAGAGGTTGACCCTAGAATTCACACATGGGGTTTTTGTTACATTGCAAGTGATGTAAGAATATTACTGGGCAAGTAGTACTGTGTATATTGAACTGGTGGTTGTATGAATGTATGAATGTGTTTCCATGCCTCGTTGACGTAGCCCTGCAAACAAACAGCTTCTGAGCCTCTCCCCAGTTGAGAGCGCTGGAGGAGGCTTAAGCTGCTCCGCTTATGTATTTAGGCGAGCTGAAGCAAAACATTCCCCTAGGTTCTTAAATTAGGCCCTTAAAATCTCGATTTTAATGTTTCCTTATAGGATTTTGCCGTGAATTCTTTTGCAGACCTTCATTCAAATCCATGTATGCATCTACTGATAGACTAAATTAAGTAGTCTTAGAGGCGTACCTTGATTGGCTTTAACTTTGTCGCATGTATATAAGCGTACAAGTCAACTTGTCCGCTATTGTTAAGAGAGTTAATAGATAATTTTAATGCCTTTCGAAGTGAGACCATTAGCTGTAGAATCCTTCCGTGCCCAAAGCAGTATATGCAGTAGGCACAGATCTGTTACCTCCACTGAAATAAATTACGTACTCTATGAATAATTCCTCCCAAAAATAAATTATTTTTATTTCCTGCAGCTAAACAATATTTTAAATAGTACAAGCAAAAATTAGTTGGAATTGCCACTGTTGAGGTATTTTGTACACTTTTATGTATGAAAAATGAAGCAAATTTATGTGTCTAATTTTTCCGCAATTACTGCATGTTATTGGTGAAATCCAAAAAGAAAAATAAATGCATTTGTATTTTGGAAATTTCTACACTGAGTAGGAAAGATGCCCAGACTGTCTAAATCAAGTGGTTCCATTAATTTATTTGCAGTTCTCGAATCAAATGATCAAATGCTTTTTTCGAACTGGATTCGCCATTCTATTTCGAAAGCAAAAGTTTAAAAGGGTCGTTTTCCTACAAATCACCACCAGCGCGTTAATTATTGTAATTGGAAATTTCGCCTAAATAGTGACTGGGCAACTTTTTGCGCCGCCACATTAAAAAAGGAGTTGATTTTTATGTTTTATTGGCTAAACGGTCCCTGGTAGTCCAGACCTGCACATGTTTACTTCTAACCCTGTTTTGACAATGTGCTTCTGCATATTTCCACTAGAGATGGTTATTTCATTAGGACCTAGAGTAACTAGGCAACTGAGGATTTTCTCCAACTGGAGCCGTCGTTCAAGTGGAGTCTTGACCTCTAAATGCATTCATTATTTGTTTTTTGAAGAGAGAGCTCGTCGAAGCAAGTAACCAATCAAATTAGGTGGAAAAATTAGCCTTTAAACCGTAAAAAACTGGAAATCTTATGTTTAACATATTTTAAAAGAAGCTTCTGGAAAGTTTTGCAGAAGATACGAGTGTACAAACTTCCGGGTAATCAAAACTCACCCAACAGTAAGAAGGCTTGTGAAAAATACATTGCTCAAAAATTGACAAAAAAAATGATTTTTCAGCCAAATGTCAAGGTTTATATTCTGGTCATTTTTCTTATTACATTGACCAAAAAAATTTCGACTAAAATGTATGTAAAAAACAGGAAAAATGTGCTTTTAGACCAAAGTCATTTTCTGCATCAGTGAGTTCTCTACTTTTTCCTAATAAATCATCCCAGCTGGACAATGTGTTTCTCTTCAACTACCTGAAATCAAATGTACATTTTATGGGTCATTAAAGAGATCACTGTATTGGTCCTTGAACACCGACCCCAAGAACAATGAACACAAACATGCCTCTGAGGATTTAATCTTGCAATTAATTGAGAAGGTACGCGTCTTTTCACAAACAAAACGAACAAAAGTTACACCATGACTTCCGATTTTTGCATCCATGCGTGAAAGTTGGCCTGTGTGTCGGTGCCAAACTTAATGTAGTAAATGTCATGTTTTTATTGCCACTAGTGTCAATAGTAGATAAAACGCACATCGTCATGATTCACTCTAGACACTCTTGATCAAGATTTCGGGAAGCAGTGGGAGATGAGTGCACATGTGGAACAGTGAGTGCTGATGAGGCAAGTGCCCTGTCAACGAAATCCAAATCCGTAGAATACTTGATTACATGATTAAAAACTGCTAGTGATGATCTCACCCGCGGTGGTCTTTCACCCATAGCCGAAGTCACTTTCGGAATGGCAACATAAATCCTCGACAAGTCTTCTGGTAGGACCCATAAACAGCGCACCATGCAAAACAGACTACCAGGATGATTTGCTCTTATCGACAATGCTTAACCACTGGAGAATATGACCATCAAATGAAACACACTGTTTTACCATTTGAAATATTTCTTTTTTCCCTAAACTGTAAAGCTACGCAAGGAAAAGTTTTTAGCGCTTTGACACATTACACAGTAAAGGCTGAAAACTTTCTAAGGAAGAAAAGATATTGGCCAGTCTTTTTAATTTTGTTTGAGGAGCGTAAATACGCATTTTGTAAGTTATTATCACTGCCGAAATGGGTGAAAATATAATGGAATATGTCTTTTGCCCTTCAAACCCTGGATTCATTCGCGCATTCCTCCATTCATTCAGATTGTTGCATCGTCATTCAAACAGTAATTTTCGCTCATCTCTCATACAATAAGCCGCGGGTAAGTTTTACTTCGAACTACGAATTAAGTAAGCAAAATTGTTTTTAAATAGTTGTACCATGTGACCTTTTAAAATCTGTGAATAATTCACCACTGCGAGGCCATAATGTTGGCAATAGCACGCAAAAAGTGTAGGAATTAGCTATTTTATCAAAAAACAATGTTCAAAACTCGAACATCTTTGCATTATTTTTTTCTCAAAAGTCATTTATAATGAATGTCAAGTGATATTAAAATGAAGTGCGTATGCGCGGATACGCGATGTGATCGTTGTGTTGTAGAAATCCCTTGGTGTTCTTTCAACTGGAAATAATTGACATTGGAATGTTTAGTCCTCGACAAAAATTGTCGCCATGGTTAATTTGGTCTTTAGGCAAAGCAAACAAATGAAGCTGTCGTTACAATAAACACGTCCAATCATTAGTCTTTGGTTAGTTAAGAGCCTGATTAAAAATGAACGCCATGGGATTTATTCTATTTGATGGCCGAGTATGGTCAGGAGTTGCATGATAATTTTGTGGTAATAAAATATCTCTCTACCCATCCACAGTTTTTGGGACTAAGTTTTAACGTGCTCATTTTGTATAGCTCGTAAAAGCATCCTACTGGCTAATCTCCGCTCCATGGTAAAGATACAACCTCGCCTTGTGTTTTTGAGGCACTACGATAGTGAGAAAAGTAGGTGACTCGTTCCAACAAAGAGCACCTATTTTTATCGACAGAAATTGAGGTTCAAACGTCTGCTTTAGACGGCTGAATCCCCATAAATTTGCAGTGAAAGGAATTTTGACATTCAGCGTAGTGTTATAGTATGCAACAGCGCAATCAAAGACTGACTCAGGACTGATGCACAATATTTTAAGGAGGTTTGTGATTGAGCTTCTTACAGTAACCTTCTAAAGACATATGGGTTGTAAGAATGAATGCACTTACTCACTCTACGAATTGTTGGTTGTGTGTTGGCTATTCATCTGGAGGACGCTGACATAAGGATAAAGTAGTATGGAGGAGTGATTGCAAAACATGGGCTCTGTGAAGCTCCTTTAAATATTTTAAACAATGGCTGTGCTTCTGTACAAATCTCTGGCATAATTTTTGAGGTGCTTGCGTTGTAGTGTATCACCCATTTTGAGCAGTACAAAGTCAGTGAATTCCTCCCCGTGCAATTCACAAAGAGGACGCAATCACGCAAATCCGGATGCCCTACTGATTTCGGACTATAAATTAGTACAGCAGAAATGGAGTGTTTTTCTCCTGCTTTTGCTAGTTGCACTCAGACTAGGATTGCTGCCCTTATTCCTTGCATGTTTCTGTC